GTGAATTCCACCATTCTGTCTTCCAGGTCACTTATACATTTTTCTGCCTCAGTTATTCTGCTATTGATTCATTCTAGTGTATTTTTCATTTCAGTTATTGTATTGTTCATCTCTGTTTGTTTGTTCTTTAATTCTCCTAGGTCTTTGTTAAACATTTCTTGCATCTTCTCGATCTTTGCCTCCTTTCTTTTTCCGAGGTCCTGGATCATCTTCACTCTCATTATTCTGAATTTTTTTTCTGGAAGGTTGCCTAGCTCCACTTCATTTAGTTGTTTTTCTGGGGTTTTATCTTTTTCCTTCATCTGGTACAAATTCCTCTGCCTTTTCATTTTGTCTATCTTTCTGTGAATGTGGTTTTCCTTCCACAGGCTGCAGAATTGTAATTCTTCTTGCTTCTGCTGTCTGCCCTCTGTCTATTTCTTTTTATGTGAGTTTTGCCAGATTGTGTCTTTCAAGGAATTGGTCCATTTCACCTAAATTATCAAACTTGTGGACATAGACTTATTCATAATATTCCTTTGTTATCTTTTTAAAATCCATGGGATCTGTAGTGATGTCCCATCTTTTATTTCTGATATTAGTAATTTGTATCTTCTCTCTTTTTTTCCCTAGTTACCTTGACTAGAGGTTTATTGATTTTATTGTTTTTTTTCCAAAGAACCAGCTTTTGGTTTCATTGATCTTCTCTATTGATTTCTTGTTTTCAATTTCACTGATTTCTGCTCTAATGTTTATTATTTCTTTTCTTTTGCTTACTGTGGATTTAAGTTGCTCCTCTTTTTCTAATTTCCTAAGGTGGAGACTTAGATGACTGATTCTAGATCTTTCTTCTTTTCTAATATATGCATTCAAGGCTCTATATCAATACTTCCCTCTAAGCAGTTTCCACTGTATTCCACAAATATTAGGTTGTGTTTTCATTTTCATTTAGTTCAAACTATTGTTATGAAACCAAACTTGGGCCCACTCTCCTGCCACACAGCAAAGCCAATCTGTTGACACCAGGTTATGGTGGAGGAAATTACAGTGTTTATTTGTGGGGCACCAAGTAAGGAGAACAGGCAGCTCATGCTCAAAAGACCTGAACTCCCTGATGACTTTCAGGGCAGAGTTTTTAAAGGCATTATTTGGGGTGAGGGCTGCAGCTTGTGAAATTTCTGGTTGGTGGTGAGGTAACAGGGTGTTTTGGGAATCCTAGTCATAACCTTGTTCCAACCAGTCCGGGATCTATATGTGTTCAGCATATCATCACCATCCTCCACCTGGGTGGGGGTCTTGGTTTCTGCATAACAACCCAAAGATACGTTTCAGACTGTTATGTATATCCCTTGAGGAGGAAATAGGACTGTTTTATGGCTGAACAATTGTTCAGGCTATTTTGCTTAACTTCCGGTTCGGGTCTTGCTTAACCAAGGTCCTGGTTCCTCCTCAAGGAACATAACAATACACCTTTGAGTTCTTCTGGAGGGACTAAGGCCCCCACCCAGGTGGAGGATGGTAACTTCAAGATGAGCACTAGATTCCTGGAGCACCACCCTGATAACTTACTACCAATAAATCAGAAGAAAGTCACACACCCTGCAATCCTCACTCCAAATTTTGCCTTTAAAACATTTCCCCAAAACCATGGGAGGAGTTTGGGTGTTCTGAGCACAAGCCACTCATTCGTCTTGCTTGGCTGTTGCAATAAAGCTTTCTTTGCTCCAAACTGACATTTTGGTTTGTTTAGCCTCACTGTGCGTTGGGCACACAAACTTGGATTTGGCAACTTACGTATGCCTTTATATTTAAAATAGGCTTCTTGTAGACAATATATCGTTGGGTCTTGTTTCTTGATCTCTCACTTTTAAATGGTATACTTTGACCATTAACATTAAAGTGATTACAGAAATAGTTGGTTAATATCTTCCATATTTGTTACTGTTTTCTATTTGTTGCCCCTGTTCTTTACTCCTGCTTTTGTCTTTCACTCTTTTCAACCTTTTGTGGTTTTAATTGTACAAATTGATTCTATTTCCTCTCCTATCTTATAACAATTATTTTGCTTATTTTTAAAAATATTTATTTATTTATTTGGTTGCACCAGGCCTTAGTTGCGGCAGGCAGGCTCCTTAGTTGTGGCACACAGGTTCCTTAGTTGTGGCACACAGGCTCCTTAGTTGTGGCATGCGAACTCTTAGTTGTAGCAGGCATGTGGGATCTAGTTCCCTGACCAGGGATCGAACCTGGGCCCCCTTCATTGGGAACCTGGAGTCTTATCCACTGCGCCACCAGGGAAGTCCCTATTTTGCTTATTTCTTAATTGGTTATTTTATTATTCAGTTTTAAGCATTCATTGTATATTTGTATACAAATCCTTTATTAGAAGTGTGTTTTGCAAATAGTTTCTTCAAGTCTGTGGCTTGTCTTTTTATTCTTTTAACAGTGTCTTTCACAAAGCAGAAGTTTTTAATTTTTTAATTTTTTAATTTTTTTTTTTTTTTTTTTTTGCTGTTCCACGCGGCTTGCAGCATCTTAGTTCCCCAGGGATCAAACCTGGGCCCCAGCGGTGAAAGTGCTGACGCCTAACCACTGGACCGCCAGGGAATTCCCAGAAGCTTTTAATTTTGATTAATGATTGTCCTACTTTCTGAAGGATTTCTTTCCTTTACTTTATTCTGGCATATAAAGATGAATTCTACCAAACATTTAAAAAAGAAATTGTATCAATGCTCTAACATCTCTTCCAGAAAATAGAAGAAGGGGGAATACTTTCTAACTTTTTCTGTGAGGCCAAAATTACCCTTACACCAATATAGTGAACACTAAGATAAACTACGGACTTTGAGTGGTAATGATGTGCAGATGTGTGTTCATCATAATAACAAATGCACCAGTATGGTGAGGGATATTGATGGTGAGGGAGGTCCTGTGTTGGGGGTGGATGGTAGGGGATAATGAGGAGTATATAGGAAGCCTCTGCACTTGCTGCTCAATTTTGCTGTTCACGTAAAAAAAAAAAAAAAAGACATTATAGAGCAGTTTTAAGTGGAGAGGTGATGAAGAAAGACACATCTAACATGCTAATTCCAAGTAATATGAATCCTTGTCTTTTTCTTGTACTTGTATTTTAAATTATTCATAAAACAGAACAAAATGCATCCCTGCCCCATCTGTGACACTAACACTTTTGCAATAACCAACCAACTTCTCTGTTTATAATTTGTCTTTTGACTTCATATTTTAGAGATGGGGCACAGGGGAATTTTTTTTCCCAATTAAAGAAGTTTTAATTCTAATTTAGTAAAAACTATTACTGTTCTTTTATAGTGCCAGATTTTGGAGCCATGATCTGGAAGTTTCTCTTTACCCTCAAATTATATAAACATTGATCTATATATTCTTCCAGCACTGATTTTTTAAAAAAGTTTTTATTTTAAATTGGAGTATAGTTGATGTACAATGTTGTGTTAGTTTCAGGTGCACAGCAAAGTGATTCAGATACATATGTATAAATATTCTTTTTCAGATTATTTTCCCATATAGGTTTTCGCAGAGTTCTCTGTTCTTGTTGATTATCTATTCTATATATAGCAGTGTATATATGTTAATCCGAACTTCCTAATTTATCCCTCCCCCCCACCCCTGCATCTTTCCCCTTTGGTAACCATAAGCTTTTCTCTAAGTCTGTGAGTCTGTTTCTGTTTTGTAAATAAGTATATACATACTTATACATACTTTTTCTGGGCATATATCTGCAGAAAACCATACTTCGAAAAGATACATGCACCCCAATGTTCACTGCAGCACTATTTACAATAGCCAAGACATGGAAGCAACGTAAATGTCCAGATGAATGGATAAAGAAGCTGTGGTACATATATACAATGGAATATTACTCAGCCATAAAAAAGAATGAAATAATGCCATTTGTAGCAACATGGATGGACCTAGAGATTATCATACAAAGTGAAGTCAGGCAGAGAAAGACAAATATCATGTGATATGACTTATATGTGGAATCTAAAAAAATATACAAATGAACTTATTTACAAAACAGAAACAGATTCCTGCACTGCTTTTCCAAAGAGGCAAAATGTTTACACACTTTCTGGAAAAAAACCTTATGTGTATATCAGATAGGCATCCACATTTATTTTCAAAATGTCCCAGCACTGTTTTTGAAATAACAGTTTCATTATATGCCATATACACACACATACATGTTTCTGTATTTCTGTGCTTCCTATTCTGTTCCACAAGGGCAAGGACACTGACATGAACTTGTATTTTCAAAGGATGACTTTGGCTGCTATATGGAGAATATACTTTAAGGGGGAAAAGTTTTTTTATATTTATTTATTTATTTATTTATTTATTTGGCTGTGCTGGGTCTTAGTTGCGGCACACGGGATCTTCAGTTGCAGCATGCAGGCTCTAGTTTCCTGACCAGGATTCGAACCCAGGCCCCCTGCATTGGGAGGCGGAGTCTGAACCACTGGACCACCAGGGCAGTCCCTAAGGGAGAAAAGATTTTGATCTGATGGGAAAGTTGTAACTTAAGCTTCTGTAAGGCTACAAGGAAGCTCTTACAGAGGCAAAGGATGGTGATAGCGCAGACTGGTTTCTTAGCAATGGAGGTCGTGAGAAGCAGTCCTATTTGAGGTTTATTTTGAAAGCAGAGCTGACAGGATTTGTTTATAGGTGTGAAATGTGACAGAAAGGGAGGATTCAACCCGGTGAAAGATAGTGGCCTTTACTGGAAGGGAGAAAACTAGGGAAGGACAGGTGTTGGGAGCAGGTTAAATGAGAAATACCTGTTATAGTGCAGGTGCCAGGTAGAGAGTTGGATTTAGTAAATGTTTGACTTCCCTATGATTCTCTGTAGTTTGATACAAATAAAGCTGCAAAAGAAAAAAAGCAGTCTCTAAAGAGAATAGAATGTGTTTGTGACCGTTGAACTAGTGATTCCACATCTGGGGTTCTTCCATTTCTAACGGAAATGTTCATAACATGTACAGACGCCGACCTGTGGGCTGAGAGGACACCAGTAGCTGGAAAGCCGCCCGGCGCTGGAAGAGCGCTGCCTGACATCCGAGAGGCCTTCGGTACCTCGCGCCGCCCGCAGCAGGAGCGCCCTCCGCGAGTCCCGGCCGCCTGGGCCCGGGTCTGACCCCATACTGGGCTTCGGGGTTGGGCCGCCCCGCAGCGCGGCTCAAGCCCTGGACCAAAAAACCCAGGGGCCGCCCGAGGGCTTCCCGGGCTTCGACGGGCTGTGGCGTCCAGCTTCTACCAGGACACTGAGGGGGCCTCGCCCCAGGAGGAGAAAGAGGGGAGGATTTGCCTGTATTCACGCGACGGGCACTCATCGACCTGCGCATCCTTCTCTACTGGTTCCAAGGGGAGCACCTGCAAACCCGTAGAGCGTGTGGAAAAGATCCTAGGTGAGTGCTTGGCGGGGGCGCGCTCCACCCGCCGGCACGGGCGAGCTCCTTCTCCCGCGCGCGCGGCCGGGGTTACAGTCTTGCCCCTGCGCCCGGAGCAGCCCGGCCTGCCCCTCCGGCGCCCCCTTCCCGCCGCGCTCACAACCCAGGCACCAAATCGTGCACTTCGAGCAACTGATCGAGATCCTGCTGCAAGTGCAAACTCTCGACCCGAAAGGCCTGGCCAGGATCTCGGTTTTCCGGCCCCTGGAGAAGAACAGGCTCAGTCCATCGTCCTTTGCAGAAGGCAACTGCTCGTCCGCGAGTCGCCGGAGAGTGGGAAGGCCCACTGCGGGCTCCGGGCCGCCGGGCGGGTCCGAGGATGACAGCGGGTGGGGTGGAGACAGACCGGGGCTGCGGCCTGGGTTGGAGAGCCTTGTTTGCCTCTCTGCAAGGTCTCGGGAGCTTTCCGGAGCCCGCGAATGCAGCCCGCTCTGCCGGGCGAGACCACCTCCACAAGGGCGCTGAAGACCTAGCAGCGAGGTGAGAGGGAAGGGGAGAGATCGGTGTGTCCCTCTGCCCCCTCCCACCCTCTTTATACGAGATTGCGGAGATTTAAGGGAACGACTTGTCTGTCTTGTTCCCCTGTGAGCCTGGTGTCCCAGATGCTCCTGGATCCCCTCCTCCGGGCGGCGAGGGCGGAGGGCTCAACCTGTCTCGCGGCTGGAAGGAGGCGGGGGAGGAGCGCTGGCCCCGCCCGATCCTCGCATTCGTCTGCGGTCGGTGTGTTTTCCAAACTTTTCTGGTTCGCGTCCAGGAGTTTTCCGGCTATGCAGACAGAATCCGGTGCCTGTGAGGCCTCCGGGTTTCAAGAGAGGCCCGGACCACTTCGGGCAAGGCCGGGCTCGGGAGCCATGGCGGGTCGCCAGGGCCCGCAGAGCTGAGGTTACAACTTGCACTTCCAGCTGCAGGGCATCTGGAGAAATTCCCGATCGTGGTCTGGGAGCGGCCCCAGTCCAGCCGAAGTAGTCCCGAGCCTCCGAAGGGTCTCAACACAGAGGATCCCTGCCCATGATCGTGCGCCCCAGGGATGCCTCAGGGCCGCTGTGGGATGCTGGGGCGGGGGGAGGTGTGAACACGGCGTCAATCTAGGGCCAGGAGTGGCATCCCCACCACCCCGCTACTTGGAGCCGGTGTGTAAAATGAGGAACCCATTAAACCCGGGTCGTGGTGACTGGGCAAGTCTACCATCTGTCTCCCACCCTGCCCACAACCTCTAGGGAAACGGCTTTGCCTCCAGCCCATCAACATGTTAAGTGCGCTTCTTTGTTTTAACTCTCCAGATTAGTGGGGATCCGTGAAGTAAATCGATTTGTATCAAGAAACAAGGAAAGCCAAAGCAAGGAGGGGACCTGCGAACACTTCTCTCCAACTTACTGGGCCTGAACAGTTAGACCTTGGACTTGCAGCCCCCAGCCCAGTTTCGCCTGGCAGGGGGCCGGCGGTTTTGCCGGTGCGTCAGCAACTAGATTCAGTTCGTCCCAGCGCCAGTCTCGAGGAGGTCTGAGCTACCCGCACAGGAGAGAAAAGCCGCCAAATTAGAATCAGAAGCGTGTGACAAGAATTTTAAAATAGGCACGTGACCACCGCGGCCCTCAAGCTGGCGAGGCCCGGCTCCCCCCACCTGCGGAACTCAGTCCACACTCTGGATGTACTGACAATGAATGATCGTCCCAAAGATTTAGAGGCTCAGGAGTCAGGTTTAGGGGCTTTCCCGAAGGGACGGGAAGGGGATGGAGAAACCTCCCTTCCCACACAAACATACTTGCGCAGAGGGCCCCGCCCGCCCAAGCCTCTCTCTTGGGTCCTGGCGGCATCGGTGCCACTCGACCAACACCTGGATAAATCCATTGTGTCCTTCCCTCGAGTAGCATCGTCCGTAGACTGTGATCTCCAAGGGGTCTTCGAAGCACCTTGGATCTCCTCGGGTCAGTGTTGAACCAGCGTTCTGTTTGGGGGAGGAGATCCGCACTCCGGCCTGCGCGGGGAGAGGGTGCTCAGGTCCGGAGAGCTGGGTCCCGGTGCCTGCGAGGCCGGGAGGCTGTTTTGCTGAAAGCCTTACTTTCGGTTGCAAGGTTCGTAGGACTCGCTGGCAAAATAACCACTCTACACTCAGTTAAACAAGAATCTAGCCAGAGTCTGTTGAATTAACAATGATTACAGTATACTAATTAAGAAGAGAACAGTATAACTAACAGAAAGAATAGTAAAGACAGAGGTTTATACGTCACCGAACTGGGGAAGCACCTACATCCAGATCCAAGCAGCGCTGGGAAGTCCCTGGAACGGCGACCTGGAGTCCCGATTGGAAGGTCTCTGGCGGTGCGTCCACCCCACGGCTGAGACTAGAGTACTGCTCAAAGGAGTCCTGCTTCTAATGCCAAGCCGCAAGCCGATAGTCAGCAGCTTACGCGCAAATGTGCAGCTCTGGCTATTATCTGAAATGCTTTGCTCTCTAGTCGTTAAGTCTCAGAATATTCGCTGATCCCTGGGAAGCGGCCAGATTCCCAAGGCTCAGGAAGCTTCCTGACTTATTCCCTCCCTTATCTGTTGGTGCTCAGGCTTGCTAGCGCCGTTTCTGCTGACCTACATAGTACAAGACTATTACCTTCCCCAGCAGAGGCAGGAGCCAGCGGCGCTCGGAGGAGGCCCCAGCCGCAGGAGGGGCTGCGGCCCGGAGGGAGCATGCTGCCAGCCTGGAGTGCTCGCGCCCCGGGCACGCAAGCGGCTCACTCACCAAGTGCGGCATCCACCAGCTCAGCCTCTTGGTTCAGACGTGGACCGGAAGCTTGGTCTTAAGTCTTCCGGCTAGAAAGAGCTCTGCGTAGTATCTCTCGGCTCCCTCCGCGCTCCCGCCGCACGACCCCTGCGACCCGGAGAAGCAACCGGACGGGAGGCCAGGTGTTTGGCGGCGCCCAGCCTCCACCTCCAGGCTCGGCGGAAACTGCCCGCCCTCCCGAGGCCGCCGGTCCCTCCGAGTCACCGCCCCGCAAAAGCGGTCAGCGTTTGGGGAGGTGGAAAGCGAAGACACAGCGGGCCTCCCGCAGGCCTGGGAGGCAATCGAGGCCTCTCCAAGCATGATTCCGGTCCCGCACGGCCCAAGGGCGGTCCCGTCGGGAGAACAGCGGCCGAGGGCAGCAGCGAGCGGAGCAGGTGGCCTGCGCGGGAGACGGCTGCGGGTCCAGCGCGCGCAGATTACCTGGGGCCTCGTCGCTGAGGACTACCCATGCAACAGCTCACTAGGACACTGAATGGGGAGAAGTTAGTCAACAGAGCTGCCTGTCGTTCAGACCACACCCACGAGAAGGATTCAGTGGAAGTGTGTAACTCTCGCCGGGGCAGAGAGTTGACAGAGCCTCTCTGAAACCCCAGTCCCAGGTGACCCTGGAGGGCTTGGCAACATGCTTTCCACTATTCGGGGCTTTTTCCTACCTCATGTTTAATTCTCTTGCTCAATATTCATTTTATTTTACTTTTCCGTAGTCATCAGCTCTTGGTGTAATACAAATGTTCGACCATTTAACGTTTCATTTACAGAAATTATTTATGCCCTATTTTACTTTGTCTTGGGAGTTGGGAGTTGCTCTTTTCCTAACAGCATGTGTTCACTTCATGGTTCCTTTATTTCCTCCAATTTTTAAAGGCTGAAAGCATTTAACATAGAACTCTAGAGTGCAAGATATACCATTGGATATAGGTCATTAGCTTTTTTAAAAAAAAAAACAGAATTAGTGTGATTTATGTTTTATTTACTTTTATTTTAAAAATATTTATTTTTCTTTTTTTTTTTGGCTGCATCGGGTCTTAGTTGTCGCATGACGTGGCGTCTTCAGTTGAGGTGCCGGGGATCTTTCTTTGCGGTGCTGGCTTGTCTCTAGTTGTGTGTGGGTTTTCTCTCTCTAGTTGTGGCGCTTGGGCTCCAGAATGCATGGACTCTGTAGATTGCAGCACGAAGGCTCTCTTGCCAGCTCAGCAGTTGTGGGGCGTGGGCTTAGTTCCCCCACCAGGGATCGAACCCGCGTCCCCTGCATTGGAAGGCAGATTCTTTACCACTGGACCACCAGGAAAGTCCCTCATTAGCTTTATATGTAAAATATAATTTAAATATTATTTAAACTTTAAATTCTATACCCAAACTATTCATCAACTATAAGGGAAAGTTAAAAATATTAAACATGGGGCTTCCCTGGTGGCGCAGTGGTTGGGAGTCCGCCTGCCGATGCAGGGGACACGGGTTCGTGCCCCGGTCCGGGAAGATCCCATATGCCACGGAACGGCTAGGCCCGTGAGCCATGGCCGCTGAGCCTGCGCGTCCGGAGTCTGTGCTCCGCAACGGGAGAGGCCAGAACAGTGAGAGGCCCGCGTACCGCAAAAAAAAAATAAATAAATAAACATGAAAAACCTTAAAAACATGGCAGATTTAAACACGCGGCATTCATCAAACACCCTGCCAAAATCCCTCTAAAAAAGAGATTATTAAAAGACATAAATGCACAAGGGTAAAGGATGGGTGTGTACACACACACTCACACATGCTGCAAGCTAAAAAGCAGGTGAGAATGTGATACTTGCTTTAGACCCAGAGAAACTGGAAAACTAAGCCTTGAAGAAGGCTGATTTGTTCTGTAGGATCCCAATCTGCTTCAGAAATGAGAGGCGTCAAGTTCCTCTCAAAGTGGGGATGAGGGTTCAAGAATCATGTGAATGAAAAATACCGCTGCCCTACCAGTAAACAAAGGATGTTGCAGTCATCAGTCCATCACATTACAGCTGCCCGGACCGCCTGGATGGTGAGCCCTGAGGGGACTCAGGATGGAAACAGGATGCCCGCCATCAAACTCGCAGCCACTGCAGCCACATTCAGTGGTGCACCCTGAAGGACTCAGGGTGGGAAAGCACAGGATACTGGCCCCAGATAGCTGAGGTGCATATCAAAGGAACGATTTCAGCGAGCCCAGACTCTTGCATCTTCCCGTACACAGAAAAGCGCTAAATTCCTTAACTTGAGATGTCTGGTTTTCTTAACAGTAATCTTTTGATGCTCTGACTAGTCTTTGTTGCAAAAATTCCTATATATCCTGGCTCCTCCCTAACCTCTTCAGAGCAGTCCCTCAGAGCTATCTGAGATGCTGCCTCCCAGGCTTGAAGTCCTCAGAAAGTCTGCCCGATAAAACGTAATTCTCAACTTTTAGAGGGTGCATTTTTTTCAGTCGACATCAGCAACCCTTAGGAACAAGGCCCTGCTCTAGAGACAGGGAGGGGTGGTGAGCCAGTAGTCGATGTCTTAACTTGCCCTCCAGGTAATTTTGTTGTAGCTCAAGTTTACAAACTATTGAGATATGTTATTTTACAATGAAACCCTTGAATCAACAAGACTAACCTTCTCCTTACAAAGCTGCCAATCAAGAGTTTGAGATCAACTCTTAAACAGGAACAGGCATATGTAATGAGCAGATTCTCCAAGGAAACCTCTAACAGAAAAGAGACAAAAGAGAAGAAAAAAAATCTGTGAAAGCAGAAACAATGTAGTAAACAGAAGAAGAATTCAAAAGGCTAATTCGGGGGACTTCCTTGGTGGTGCAGTGGTTAAGAATCCATCTGCCAATGTGCGGGACACGGGTTCAATCCCCGGTCTGGGAAGATTCCACATGCCATGGAGCAACTAAGCCCACGTGCCACAACTACTGAGCCCGCATACTGCAACTACTGAAGCCCACACGCCTAGAGCCCGTGCTCTGCAACAAGACATGCCACCGCAATGAGAAGCTCGCGCACTGCAACCAAGAGTAGCCCCTGCTCGCTGCAACTAGAGAAAGACCGCGTGCAAAAATGAAGGCCCAACGTAGCCAAAAAAAGAAGGCTAATTCACATATCTTCTGGAAGATATTACATTCATGAAATAAGAACAGATTATATTAAAAAACTAAGTTTCATAAAATAGGAAAGAAAAATTAAGAAAAATATAAGAACAGTCTAGAAGATCCATCATAGCAACTAACAGAGATTTCAGAAAATAAAAGCAGAGAAAATGTTGGGAAGGGAATTAAGAAATAGTTTGAGAAATTTCTCACAATTGAAATGGCCTGTGTTTTCAGATAGAGAAGGCACACTGACTGAGTAACAGAAAATTACACCAGCACATCATCAGGACACTAAAGGACACACAGAAGATCCAAAACACATGATTTTGGGGGGCCATTGGGGTGGGGTGGCTTGAAGCAGGACCTCGGTCCTCATCTTCTTTGAAGAAAGAATTCAACAGAGAGACCGATTGTAAAGCAGATAGAGTGTTTATTAGAAAGCGAAGTACTGTGCAAGGTTAACGTGCAGGCTCAGAGTGGGATGCGCCCCAAAGGGGGAGCTTCAGTCACTTACAAGGCGGCAGTTTTCCGGGTTCCCTGGCCAGTTGCCATACTTGTGTCCGTATTTGGTGTGACTCAGGGCCCTCCCCACGTGGATGTGCATCTTTCAGCCAAGATGGATTTCAGTGCAAGGGTTTCTGGGAGGTTGACAGGATATATTATGTGCTGGTGCCCCTTCCCTTCTTTGACCCCTGAGGAGACTTCCATGCATGTGTGTGGTCTGGGAGGTCTCCTTGACCACAAGAATGAGAAAGATGTGTCTGCCTTATCTCTTGCCCAGGCAGGGGCCAGCTCCTCTCTGTTCCTGCCTTTATCCTTGTCTCAGAGTGTCAGCAGAAGACAAGTTCTAGCTGCTCAGCCTGGGGCCCAGCTATTTCCTGCCTCTCACCTACAGAGACAGAAGAAAATGACACAGAAAAGGAATGGGAACCTATTCTGTGTGACCCTGTAACAGTGGATATTACACATTTGCTAAAATCCATAGAATGGTCAACATCAAGAGTGAAGGGTAATGTATTAAGTATGGACTTTGGGTGACAATGAAGAGTCAGGGTAGGTTCACTGATTGTGTACAAATGCCTCACTCTGGTGGGATATTGACAGCAGGGGGGGCTGTGATGTGTGAGGGGGAAGATGGTGTGAGATAGGAACTCAGAGCTTAGTTTTGCTGTGATCCTAAAACTGCTCTAAAAAAGTCTGTATTTATTATTATTTTTTTAATAAATTTATTTATTTTATTTATTTATTTTTGGCTGCATTGGGTCCTTATTGCTGCGCATGGGCTTTCTCTAGCTGCGGCCAGCGGGGCTACTCTTCATTGCAGTGCACAGGCTTCTCATTGTGGTGGCTTCTCCTGTTGCGGAGCACAGGCTCTAGGTGCGTGGGCCTCAGTAGCTGTGGCTTGCGGGCTCCACAGCACAGGCTCAGTGGTTGTGGCGCATGGGCTTAGTTGCTCCGCGGCATGTGGGATCTTCCCGGACCAGGGCTCGAACCCACGTCCCTTGCATTGGCAGGTGGATTCTCAACCACTGCGCCACCATGGAAGTCCTAAAAAATAAAGTCTTTAAAAAAAAAAGGAATAGGAATCAGAATGGCATCTCGGTTCTCTAGCAATGTTAGAGGCCAGAAGACAGTGGAGAATTGCTGTAAAAATTCTGAAGGAAAATTACTTAAGACGAGGATAATATAACCCAGCCAAATTATGGACAGATGGAGAATTTAAAACATTTTCAGACATCCAAGTGTCAACATCAAGGCACTTCTCGCCCAAGAACAGGAGAATGTATCCTACCCAAAGCAGTCAATTGATGACAGACTCCATTCAGAGGACACGCAAGCAAAGCACCGTAGTCTCTGCAGGGAGCACTGGGGCTGAGCCCCCAGCCCCCATGTCAAGCGCTTTTGAATATTTACATTCCTAGGTCTCTGTCAGAGGCCTTGGGGAGAGCTCTTCTCCAGGAGCTCAGGAGCCTCTGTGGAGGCATCCTCATGGGGTGGGGAGAAGGGGGAACCGGGAAGACACCTCCCCACTCTGGCTCAGTATCTGGTACTTTTCCACTCCGAGACCTTCCTCTTTCCCTCCTCTTCTGCCCCCCACCCATCCCAGGATCGTAAAACTGCCAGAGCCTTTTGTTTTCCCTCAATTGTGAGACACCTCTGTGCTGATCTACCCGACCTTGTTCCGTGAGGGAAGATGGAACAGGGGGCAACACTTCCTCAGGTTTAGCCTTTTACCTTGTTGCTTTAATCAGCTATCCTGACTCTTGGCAGCCCCATTCTCTCTCCCAGCTCAGCTGAGCCCGACAGCCTCCTTTCCTCGACATCCCTAACTGCAAAAGCCATTTCATGTAATTTTGCATGAGTGACCTAGACAAGCTCTTGGTTTTTTTTTTTTTTTTTGCGGTACGCGGGCCTCTCACTGTTGTGGCCTCTCCCGTTGCGGAGCACAGGCTCCGGACGCGCAGGCTCAGCGGCCGTGGCTCACGGGCCCAGCCGCTCCGCGGCATGTGGGATCTTCCCGGACCGGGGCACAAACCCACGTCCCCTGCATCAGTAGTTGGACTCGCAACCACTGCGCCACCAGGGAAGCCCCAAACAAACCATTTTAACCAAAGTTATGATCCTATCTAAGCCTCCAAACGATAAATTATTAACATAA